CGCACACAAATCATACGACGTCACTGACAACGCCGGGGACGGCAACTCGATTTTGAGATTATATTTCCAAATAAAGTTATACTAAATAACTTCTAATTACGACCTATTGTCTTCAGTTGTCTTTGTTGGTCATTCAACTTTGTTTTATCTATTTTTTCGGTGATATTACCTTTCTCAATAATCTATAAAACACCCACATAACAACGTCACGTTAGATCGATCGGTGGGGACGACGGTAGGGTCAATTTTCGGGTGTACGGTAAGAATGGCCCCGGAAAAAATGGCCCCGGAAAAAATGGCCCCGGAAATAATGGCCCCAGAAAAAATGGCCCCGGTAAAAATGGCCCCATATAACAGGTAGATAAAAATGGCCCCAATAATCAAATTCTGTATTAAAACTGATTTTCTTGATTCAATATATGCATTTTTTCATCTTAAATAATTTAGTTATTAAAAGGAATCTAACATCAAACAAATTGCCATTTACATTTTACTTTTTGCAAGAATTAACATTCGATGATAAAATATTCAAAGATACCCTCTTAATTTCACAAAAGAGTGGGTTCTTTTCCAAACAAATACATCCTGCCTAATATTGTGTGTTTAGATTAGATCTTTTGCTTTATATTTGGAAATTGAGATCATTTTAGATACTATTTCTGTATAAACAACATTTTTTTTCCATATTACTGTAAACCTAATGGGTTTTGATAACTTTACTCTGCACTACAGAATTTCCAATAAAAAAGAAAATTAATTAAAAAGACCATAGATTAAAAATAAGTAAGGCGTAAAATATTTTTAACCTATGTTAAAGCATAAATATTTTTACATAATGAAATTTAGTAAATCAAATTATTATTTGTGGCTTTTATTTATTAAATCAATTAAGAACATAATCTCAAAACAAAATTTAATGACAAGAAAGATCGACGTTTCGGGTCCATCATTCTCAAGATCAAGTAAATTGAAAAAACTAAAAACAAAAATACCAAGCAGTGACAGGAAGTAAGTAATTAATTTACATATCAATAGGGCCTACTGTGTGGAGCCACAGTGAAGCTAAGCAATAATTAGCCCTTTTTAACAGATTAACTAGATAAACAGTTTGGCTTTGACTGAATCAGTTTGTTTGTTAAGTGTAGGTTTCAGTTCTTTGATCCAAAGCATTTGTTTAATTAAGCAATTAAACTCGGATTTGCACTTAGATAAAACCATGAAATAATTAACATTTTCAGTAGCACTAATATAATGATCTTTTAAATGTTGTCCTATGTTGCCTTAACTGCGCATAATCATTTCTTATTTAAAATAGAATTATTTAATCAATTAGTAACTTTTGTTTTTTTTAATGAAATTAATTATTTTCTTTAAAAAGATGCTACCCAAGGCGAGACTTTTTTAAAACCTTGTTTGACAACTCGCTGACTATTGTACATTTTACTGTACTGTATATATGTATTCCTACTAAAAAGTTTCTAATACTAATTTAACAGCATCTTTTTTAATGCATGCAATGTTACTATTTTTTTTAAGTTGCTTTGTAAGTTACAGTATTGTAACCATTTATTGCCAATATTATTATTATTATTATTATTATTACTATTATTATTATTATTATTGTAATTTCATAAAACAAATGAAATAACAAATAAACAAATTAAGGTTCCCGTAAAATAAGGTGTAACTGTAGTTTCTGATTACATAACTAAATAAACAAACCAAAACTTTAATATAATTAAGGAACTCTGTATTTATTCCATAAAATAGATGATTATTCCCAAATAAACAAGAGATAAGTAACACCTGGACTTTTAGACATGTTGTTTATATGGCATTTCAAAACAAAAGGCTTTTATTTATTGGCTACAGCATAGATTCTCAACCAATAAAAAATCTTTTTAAAAAAAAATTGACCAATTGAATTGTACTTAGTTGCTGTCTCTTATACACATCTAGATGTGTATAAGAGACAGTATGACAGGTAGGTACCCCCCCAATTTAACAGGTCGTCGGAATAAAAAAATAAAAATGTGACATGCCTGTCACAGTCTTGAGAGTGTCATTTCTGGCCATCCAGAGGTTCCAATTCTTTAAAAAAAAATAGATATTTAATACTTGGGCTTGTTTTCAATATAAACATTTCGTGTTTTTTTCCGTTTTAAAATGTTTGTGCTCGTTAGCAATTTAGATTTATTGTTGATGTTATCCATGACATGGTAATACGTACTGCGAAATGCTAGGCCTCTGAAAGTCCCCATAGTTGGTAGTCGCCACGTTATTGGAAATTTTTATTTCAAATTTCACGAAAATGGTTTATAACATTCCCTGCAAGTTCGTCGTTGAAAACTGGTGCCGAATCAATGTTTTAGAGCCTCCCATCAGAGCCATTAATAATAATAATATTAATAATTGACCGCAAATATAGTAATAATATCTAATAATATTAATAATTTTTAAAATACTTAGACCTACTCCCAGAGCTACTCATAGGAGCTAAAAACTAATTTATTTTAGAGCTCAAATATGTATATTCTTTATGTTGATTTATTAATTAAATTTTCACTACAGGGTATTTTACAGCATTTATTTATATATTTATTTATTATTAATTTTTTTTTCTTGAATTTTATAATTAAGGGCCATAATTTATTTCTTGATTCAATTCTTGCTTATACAGTATTTAAATATTTGAAGATTAAAAGAAAAATATATCATTTCTATTACCGAATTTTTCATTGGGGCCATTTTTACCTACCTGTCTTATGGGGCCATTTTACCGGGGCCATTTTTACCGGGGCCATTTTTTCCAGGGCCATTTTTTCTGGGGCCATTTTTTCCGGGGCCATTCTTACCTACATTCAATTTTCGTCGGAAGGTATCAAGATGATAACAAGTTTCATTAGACTAAATTCTTGCTTATGCCACTGCGGTGGGGTTCCAGGGGGGCTTCAACCATTGGCAGTCACGGATATTTGACGAATTATGGCAAATTTTTATTACTTACTTGATAGGCATCGAGCTACTAGAATATGACTTCTTGTAGGCTGTTTTCTAATGTCGGAATCTGCTTCCAAAACCAAAACATTTTGAATAAAACAAGAAACAAAGATTTTGCAATGTAACCATCTAATTTACTTTCAAATCCTCTTTCTTCAAAGTGAAATTCCACATTTTGGAAATTTTGCACGAAATCTGTCAACCACGATGTCAAGGTCGAGGTTGCTTCCCCTATCGCGATGTATTCCAAGCATCATGATCCCCTTCCAAACGAGCATTTGTCATAACAGAACGCAAAATATTTTTAATTAGTCTCATTGAACTATTATTATTATTATTATTATTATCATTGTTTATTGTTTGTTTGTTTATTTAATTTTTTCCACACACATCAAATCCGATACAAATAAACATACAATATAGGTAAAATTACTTAAATAATATAAAATAAACATGTGTGTGAATGGAGGTCAAAGAAGTTCAAAAAACTTTAAGGCTGACCTCTCCATGTACAACATTATGATTAATATATATATATATATATATATATATATATATATATAAATGTAACCCAGCCATTTTAAGGCTGTGTTATACTGACTCTAGTTTTGTTAGGAACCTAATTTTCATTTACATACAATGAAGATGTGCAAGGCCGTATGGGAGGTAAAAATTCTTCAGGTAGATGGCAAACTAATTATCAGGGAGTAGCTCCCATTTAATTAATTAGATAGAAGGTCCCACTTGGCTAGAAGGTTGCATCTGGACACCCATTATATTTTTGCCTGGTAACAATTACTGACCAATAGTGGTCAGTGTAGGTCATGTGACAGGGCCTATATTAGGGCTTGTCACCAAAGTTCCGTCTCTTTTTCTGCCTTTTACAATTGGAAGCGCTGGTCGTTTCAAACTGCCGATCTATACAACTTTATATTTTTTTACAAAGTACTGTTGCTTACAAGTTATGTACAGTTGCTGTACCTCAACTGAACAAATTCGCTAAACTGTGTACAATTATATTATACAGTACACTGTTATTTTCATAAGTGAAAATTCACTTAAACGTTTGGCAGAGTTTATCAATTCATTTGAACATTTGGCAGAGTTTATTATTGGATATTGGCTCTCTACTTTAGCCTGGATATTTGCCATAATTGGCGCAGACCAATGGTAAAGAACTTATGAGGGAAAAGCTATCTCTGATCAGTCCAGAAGTGGGTGCTCATAGATACGGTAACAGCCGCACGTATTGTCTACTACGACCTACGATAAACAGACTCATCGTTGGAAGCGAGTCCTCGATGCATCAGAGCGAAAACCCAAATAAAACCAAGTAGGCCTATTGTAGTAAACCATTGGCGCCTTAATTAATGTTTTATGTTTTACCTATATTGTTATGTTTGATTTATCAATTTAATTTGTAGTTAATTGAATTAAATAAACTTCATCTTAATTATTAATTATTTGTTTAATGTGTTATCGTTTATATTTATTTGTTAAGAATAAATATATTATTCAGAGACGAAACCTGGGTTACATTTTGGGGGGTCATCCGGGAAACCTTTTAAATTTAATTCCTTTCTGATTTTGTATGTTTTGATATTTTTTTTTTTCAGCATTTCATTATTTTTATTTTCTCATTTGCTATTTGATTATGTCTATTCATTTATGATTGCTAATTTGAATGAAATATTTTAACGTTGCTCTATTGCAGATAATACCATTTATATATTTTATGTCTATTAATGTTTACACTGTGTCTATATTTGAAATTGTAAAGAGAGCCAATATCCAGCATTTTATTTTACCACACCAATATACATTTTCCTACTTTTCCTTTTAATATACAATGGCAGAGGTACAGCTCAGAAGATTAGTATTAGAATGGGTTAAGAAAGAAGGGGGTAGACCCAGTCATGCTTTACTTCTAACTACAGAATTAATTAGAAGCCCCACAGAAATCCTTGCCCTGGCATTAACAGACAAGAGACCGAGACTACATTGGTCCTATGCGACTTCGAACAATCCATCTCCTCTTTAAACTTAGGGCCCAATATTTGTTTACAATTTGATGTTAGGCCAACACTATTTAAAGTAATACGCCTAGATGACAACTCCTCAGAGAGGAGTGAACGAGTGCGGATTAGTGATCTTTCTAGGAGTGGTGTCCTGGATGCCTGGCGGTCTCGTCCCACAATGGCGGCTGGTTCACCGGATATTCCGTCTACTTCAAACTATCAATCATCATCTGCTCCATACTTCCAATCATCTTCCCCAGCTCCTAACCCTACCGTTGACACTCTCCCTTCTGATTTTGTTAGGTCATTTGCTCGTTGTACTCTTGCGGCTAACCACCGAAAGCTGCGTTGTTTCTCAGGCCTGCCTTCACCCTCTCGTGATGAGGATGACTATAGTTCATGGATAGACCATGTAGAGGGACAAATGGATGAGTGGCAAGACTTAGATGATGCCGAAAAAAGGCGTCGCATACGGGTAGCACTCCGTCCCCCTTCACTGAGCATTATTAATGATTTAAGGCGCGACAACCCCGCCGCCACATCCTATGACTATCTTCGGGCATTAGATATGGCCTTTGGTGATACAGAAACAGACAATGAGTTGTTCGTTAAGTTTCATACCACAACGCAGAAAGAGGGTGAAACACCCTCAAAATTCCTTAATCGTCTACAAAATATCTTAAGAAGGGTACTCAGAAGAGGTATAGTGCCTCGAGCCCAATCTGATGGAGTTAGGCTGAATCAGTTCATTAGGGGCATTTTGTTTGATGAGATGGTAATCGTCAACCTCCACCTCAGAGACAAGACCGCTAATCCCCCTTCTTTTCTCAGTCTGCTATCGTCGGTTAGGAAGCAGGAAGAAGAGGAACGTCTCAAAAGGGAGTCACGTGGGTTGCCGAAACAACCACCCGTGACGTATGTTCAACACTTTCAACACACAACTCCACCTATTCCCACCAATGAGCAGCCCTCACAAAACCCTCAAAAGCAGGCCTCGAAAGGGAGACGACGAGATAACCAGACAGCTACCGATCAGGGTACCATGGTAGACTTTTGCTTTAGGTGTGGTGAGGGGGGACATATTCGCCGTCGATGCCCAAACCCAGCCAACATCGAGCTGGTAAACCGAAGGCTAGTAAAGTTAGTTTTAGGAGGAAAGATGCAGGGAAACTCCTCAGGACACCTGGCGCAGGGGAACCAGGGGTCCACGCAAAGGTTTTAAACCCCCAGTATAAGTTAGGTACAGATATCCCACAGGGTTTAATTGGGGAAACAATTACTCCTAGATGTTATGTGGATGATATAGAAACCCAATGTCTTCTAGATAGTGGTTCGCAAGTCACCCTCATTTCTGAAAGTTTTTTTGACCGCCTTAAGCGAGAATTGCATCCCTTGAATGACCTCGTTTTATTTCATGGAGGAGATGGGCAGATTCCATATTTGGGGTGGGCATATGTGTCTATGGGTTTTAACAATGCTTTTAGCGGAACGGATGATCGTTTTGATACTTTAGCCTTGGTCGTCCTTGATGGGCGTAATTCCGAAACAGTGTCTATAATAATAGGAACCAATTCGGGTTTGTTTAGAAATTGTTTTGCGTCGTGCAAACGTCAGGCTGGTGATAGATTTGTTCAGAGTTTAAAAATAAGTGCCGCCTGCCTTAAAATATAAAGACATTAAAAATACTAACAAAGTCCCTAATTTTGAGCGTAGCACAAAATTTTTTCTTAGTTTAGAAAAAAATAATGGAAAGAAAAAACATATAAAATGTTTAAAAAAATTCAAATGGTGAAGTACTTACAAAACCACGGGAAATTCTATGTGAAGAGGTACGTTTTTATAAACAGCTATATGCAAATAAGGGGATTTCCCTTAAAGATATAAACGCATACCTATATAGCACAAATGTAAATTGCTTAACTAATGAAGAAAGCAGTATTTGTGAAGGTACTATTACCTTACATGAATGCGACGAAGCAATAAAAAAAATGAAATTAAATAAAGCTCCAGGGTGTGATGGCCTTACAGTAGAGTTTTATAAATATTTTTGGAAAGAAATTAAAACAATAGCTTGCAGAGCTATTAACGAATGTTATTTTAAAAATGAAATGAGTAATACTCAAAGACGTGGTGTAATCAGTTTATTGTACAAAAATGGTGATAAGCAGTTATTAGAAAATTGGAGGCCTATAACATTACTAAATACAGATTACAAAATCCTAACACAAATCTTAAGCTCTAGACTTCATAAAGTAATTGCAAAATTAATAGACAACGACCAAAAAGGTTATATTAAAGGGCGTTTTGCTGGAGAAAACGTTCTAATTAATTATATTCTTCATTATACTGAAGAAGAAGAATTAGAAGGTGCAATTTTAGCTCTTGACTTTAGAAAGGCCTTTGACTCGGTGAATCGGAATTTTATGTTCAGAG